TCTCTCTGTTGAGTAAAAGTTCTTAAAGTGTTCTTAAAAGTTATTTTCAATATAATATCATCGTTTAGTTTTCATCAATAATATGTTTAGTCTCTGCTTTAAATTGCGATAACAATAATTACATCAGAAATATTTCAATATGGTTTACACGAGTGCCCGACCATACTGTGGACCAAACCATTATATCATTTATAAAAACAGCACAGATATGAATTCTGTATAAATTAATTTCCAATCACCATTACATAGAAATTAATAAAAACTGCATGTCAAACAAAGCTCAAGGTCTTTTTTATACACTTACCCTCTACTTATCAAACAGAATCCAAACACATATAAGTATTTAGTTTTTAATGCCTTTCATCCTATCTTTTGTTTATAAAATCATTTCAATTAATATTTTACTAAATTTTTGTAAATTTATTTCAAATTAGTTTTCATTCAAACTCTAAGAGGAATAACATGTCAGCGAAACAGGAGATCAGGAGCTCGTCGGCGCCCAACCCAGTCGGCACATACTCTCAGGCCATACGGGTTGGCAATACAGTGTATCTGTCGGGTCAGGTCAGCATCGATCCCAAGTCGGGTCAAGTGGTGTTGGAGTCGTTTGAAGCGCAGGCGGAACAGGTGTTCAACAATCTGAGAGCAGTGGCCGAGGCGTCCGGCGCTACTCTCGACCATATCGTCAAACTAACCATTTTTATCAAAGACTTCAAACACTTCCCGACAGTTAACCAAACAATGGAGAAGTACTTCAAGAAACCATTTCCGGCCCGAAGTACTATCGGTGTGTCCAGTCTTCCCCTCGGCGTCGACATCGAAGTCGAGGCCATTATTCATCTCTGAGGCCAACGATTAATACTCGGCATTAGATATTGCAATATTTTGTTTGTTTTTCTATGATTTATAACTAAATGTCTGAATAAATATTAATTAAATAAATTGAGTTAATTGTTTGTTTTTAATTTAAATCACAATTAAATCACATTTAAATCCTAAAAATTTTAAGTTAGGTTTCCTAACGCTATCTAAAGGGCTGTTTCACTGATAATTGACGTGATTTATGAACGACACAAACGAAACCCACATTTCATTGAATAAAAAGTTTTCATTGAAAACAATACAAAACAAACACTGAATTGAATGTCAAATTGAAATGTGATTTAAATTAGACTTAAATTATAAATCAATATATAATTAAAACAATAATTATCACTGAATTGCATACAATTGAGTGACAAAATCAGCAAACAATGACAGCGTTTGAGTGTTTGGTAACGATTGGCGACAAAAAGCACAGCATTTCTCTCCCGAAAGACATAAATTCAGTGAAATTTGCGGACATTTACACACATTTGTCACAACGATTCAATGTATCACTAAATACACACGTGTTTGAGGTATTCATTATATGTTTAATTATGTTTACAATTAATTGCCATTAATTGTCAGTACACTATACGAGTGCAGCACTAGTTATAGCCATAGCCAACCCGTTATAGCGAACCCGGCGTTCACTATACCGACGGTCGGCTGTGGTCTCTATGATGTGTCCGGTATTTAAGCCGTGAATACCATATGTTTTGTGTCAATACATTAGGTATTTGTGTATTAAATGCCCGACTCTTTGCTGTAATGTTAAAAAAAAGTAAAACTACTTTTAAATTAATTTGTCGTTTAATTTAATTGTAATTTTATTTTTTTCCACTCAAATAGATATTTGATTTTGAATTAAATTCATTCAATCGTTTGGCGAGCGTTGAAACGCCCGTCAAATACTTGTCCCGAATCAGGGTTTCGGCCAAAAGTGGCCAAAATGTCAACACTTTTAACACTAATAATAGTAATAATTATAATAATAACCGAAACAATGATAATATGGAGGACACGGATGAGTTTGACAGTAATCTCAACAACGATTACTTCAATCGAGACCTGATTGGCGACAATCAGCGCAACGAAGACTACTTTAACACGGGTTTTGTGGGTCAGAGGCGACCGCCGGCGGGCGCCCGACGTCTGCCGCCCTCTCGCAGACCACCCACAGGTCCCGTGGGATTCATTGCCGACAGATATGGGTTTGAATCACACGATTCACGTCAAAACGAAGACTTTTATAACAATAGTTTTTTTGACGGCAATTCATATGACGACAATTACGGGGTTAATGACTACGGGATGGCCGGCCCGTCACCGCCCGGTCCGCACTCAATGCCACCGCACGGCCAGCACTACTCCCGGAGGCCAGCGTTCAATGAGCCGATCGCCGGCTGTTCCCGAGCTATGCCTCAAACCTATTCACGCGATGATCAGCTCTTCTCTAGACGACCCAACGCTAATCTCAATGCTTTCTCTGATTATAATCCCAACAGATTTGGTGCACAACAATCGTATGGGGGTTTTGGTGACCATTACCCGCCGGCCGACTGCTTTGAGCCCGACTACGGCACTGAATACGATATGGGACTGCAGTTTGACCATCAGTTTGGCGATTATCAACAAAATCCTTATGTGAATAAGGATTTCTCGAACCGGCGAGGAATACGACCGGAATTTAGTGGAAGTCCTTATAACAGGCCGTCGAGAGCGAAGACAAACCCGAAAGCCGTTCAAAACAAACAGGAATTTGACGCCAATTTCAATAAGAGAAAAGAGACGCGAAAACACAACTTTTTGTCACAAAACGGCTTTTCCGTTGAACGCGAGGCGGGAGTGGAGACCTATTTCTGCGGTTTCTGCGAACTCAGACTCCAGACGATCGACGCGGCCGTCAGTCACATCAGTCATGTCGTCCACACCAACAATAGTCAGGAGAAACACTACGATTGGATTGACAGACAATTTCTGCTCAAATTGAAGAACAAGACCGTCAAACAGTCGGTCCACCGGCGGCTCGAACTCCGAAACCTGTCGACAGCCGATAAGATAAAGTACATCAGACATGGCATCAAACTGAAAGAGGGCACCGGACCCGCCGCCTACGTGTGCGTGCGCTGCGTGTGTTCGCTGAGCTCCGCTGTGGCCGTACACCGACACTATCACAAGTTTCTGGAGATCAACTGTGGACTCAATTACCCGAAGGATTATCACACGTTCGATGAGAAGGACGAGAACTGTTGCGTCCCGAGAGTGGAGCTCCGGTATCGGCGTATTCTCAACGCTTTGGAGCTGACCGTTGAGGACAACCGATCCGACAAAGAGACGGAACAGTTGATCGATTTGCGCGACGACGGCATTGTCCTCAAAGAGTCGATTACTGATGTAAACAAGAAATACTACATGTGTTTGATTTGTGACAAACAGTTTGAAGCGCCGGACGAAGCGCTCGCACACGGGAAGAGCGAAGAGCATCTGAAACGCCGATCCGGCCATCACTACAAAGGCTTGGAGAAGGCGTTTCTGGCGGACAGCGACCGGAGCGAGCAGTTGGAAGTAGTGTTGGCCCGAAAGCAAGAACTCGAGAAAATCCATTATTACGCCAAAGAGAAGAATATAGAGCACGGAATCAGAATGAAGGACGCCATCGGACCCGAGGCATATGTCTGTCTCACGTGTGACCAGTTCTTCGAGACACTAATCGATACTAAAATCCATACTCAAGACCACGAGAATAAACTCGAGGCCACAAAAATACAAGAGTCGACCGAAGACTCGCTCTTAGATTCGGCTAAAAAACAGATGGAAATACTCGATAAAGAGAAGAGGAGTCAGTTTGAGATCGATTTGACGACCGATGAGTTGATCGACAACTTAGTGGACGATATAGTGGTGGACACGGAGTCGGAGCTACGGTTCGACGAGGAGGGCATCAAATTGGTTGAGACGCCGGCCGCCACCGAAGCGGTCGCTGACGGCGACGGCGGCAAAGAGTTGCCAAAACGAGACGATGTTTACTACGATATGTTTTGCGACATTCATATCGACGGTAAGCACCGGGCGATCGAACACTTGCGCCGTTCGGTGCACTCACGGCTCAAACGCGGAGAGTTCGCCAAACCGGTGGACAAAGCGTTTCTCGCGGACACCGATCGTATCGATGAGCGCGAAGTGGTGTCCGCACGCATACAAGTGCTCAACAAACTGTCGGATGAGCTGAAAAAGAAGTCCACCGAAGAGGGCATACGTCTGAAGGATGGCGTCGGAAGTGAGGCCTTTTGGTGTAATGTGTGTAACGCCCCGATTGAGTGCCAGAGCGTCGAGTCCTCACACTTTTCCTTTACTAATCATATTAATTATAATCAAACACACATTCAGAACGTTGTTTTGCAAAATTAATTATCTCTTCTCTCCATTATTTCCTTTATATCTTTTTGTATTAAACTTTGATTTCATGTTTTAATTTTAAGATTAATGATTTGTTTCTCATTTAATTTATTTTTGAAATTTTGTAATAAATTTTAAATATTGATATAATTTGTTGTTTTTTAATATTTCCTATAATAGACAGCCAGACGAGGCGAGAGAGAGAGAGAGAGAGAGAGAGAGAGAGAG